GTTCCTTCCTCTTTTTTTTTTTTTTTTTTTTTTTTTTTGGTACCAGGGATTGATCTTGGGCCCTTGCACTAGCTATGCAGGCAGAAGAACCATTGAGCCAAATCCCCGGCCCTCCTTTCACCTACTTTTGAAGGGACTAACTATGGGCAAGAATAAGATAATAAACTTTTTTACTTACCAATTTGAAACTACAGAGGTAAAACATGAAAAACTGTACATGGCAGGAGGCATGGGTGGGCAAAAGGAGTTTGTCAAAAATGGCTATCAAATCACGATATAGATCCTTGGTTTTGTTGTTATCAATCTTACCTGCAGAGAAAATTTGACACTTCAGTCTTATAGTTTTTTCAAGCTACCACTTCATCTGTCCAATTTTTTAAAAGAGCACAATACAATTGAAATACAGGACCTTACTCACTAGGCTATGATTAAAACAATGCAGATTGCAGATTTTGAAGTACAATAACACATGTTTTTTAGCAAGACTGTCTCAAAACAGAAAGGCCGGAGCTGCACTTGGTACAAAGGCCCTGGGTTCAGTCCCACAACCACAACCACAAAAGTGTACCCCAGCACTGACAAGGAAGCAAGCAGACTGTCAATTCACACACAGTTGTGAAGTTATAAATCTAAATCTTTCTAAAGGGCAACTTTATAATTCATGAAGCAAAAACTCTTTGATAGATTAACTGTAATGCCAGGGATTTATCACAAGGAAATAACTGAAGATAGATGTGCAGAATTTCATTATGCTGTTATTTAGAATAGTGAAAAAAAGAGACCACTTATATCCATGTGATCAAAAACAAAACAAAAACAAAAAATCTTTAGGCTGGGCTGGGTATTTAGCTCAGTGATTCCACCGCCTGCCTCACAAGTTCAAGGTCCCAGGTTTGATGCCCAGCACCACAAAAACCCAAAACAAAACAAAAAGCAAACAAACAAAAATACTTTAGGCTAGGATAGGGGAATAAGACATAACCCCAGGTACTTAGGAAGCTGAGGCAGAAGGATTACCAGTGTGAAGCCAGCCTGGGCAACTTGAGACCCTGTCATAAAATAAAATAAGTCTGAGATGTAGTTCGGTAGTAGAGCACTTGCCTGGCAAGCATGAGGCCCTGGGCTCAGCCCCCAACACTGGGGATTTAAAAAAACTGTTTAAGATTATGAGAGCATAGTCACAATTCCGTACAGGCGGGTTATGAAACACTGTTTACTGTGATTCTCTCAAATCCATCAGATTTATCTAGGACTAAGGATGTGGTTTAAGGGTAGAATGCTTGCCTAGCATGCACAAGGCCGTAGGTGCGATCCCTAGCACCTAAATAATCCATCAATAAAGTCATACATACACACGTGCTAACAGATAAGAAAAACACATCAACATGCTAAGAACGACTTTTGACTAGTGGGAATGTGGCTGTTTAAATTGTCCTTATCCTTCTCATACTTTCCAAATTTTCTCTAATCAGTTTGGTATGGGGATCAAACTTGGGACCTTGCACTTGCGAGGCAGGCGGCAACAACACTGAGCTAAAAATCCCGGGCCCAACATGTCTTATTTTTTAAAGAGAAAAACAATAGCAGGTTCAACCAGATTCAAGTCTTGTTATGCCAAATAACGAGCCTCATCATTAAATCTTAGCAAAGCACATAGATGAAGACTTTGGCTTTTTTTCATGGCAAAGTGACTAGGCTATTTCGTGAGAACAAGCAGCGTACTGGTTTGCCCAGCACACCCCAGCACCTGGCACAAGCAGAGATCCTCTAAATTAAACGTGTTACACCAAGGACCATGCTGCAAAGCCTACTACTGAGCCATTTTAAAGATATTTCTGAAATGCTTTATTCTTTCGACCAGTATACATTAAATATAGAATTTCCTTAAAAATTAATAAATCTGAGTTTCCCTATTAGACCACTGTGATGGAGGGAAAATACCTGGCTCCTTTGACTTTTTACATTTACCCAAGTTCCAAGAAGATGCTCATATTTAGGTTCTGTGCTCTGTCCAAGCTGTGACGGCTTTCACAAATTGTGTAGCACTGCAAAGCGGATCACTGCAGCCATATAAATTGCGTTTGCCTTGCTTCCCTTTAGTGTAGACCTTGTGTTTGCGAGGCAGGCGGGGTGCCACTGAGCTAAATCCCCAGCCCCAACAAGATTTTGATACTCAATGTAGACGCCTCCTCCCACCACAAAAGCAATTGCCTCTTGGAATGGATTTTTTTTTTTTTTTGGTTATTGAGACAGGGTCTCACTGTAGTTGAGACTGACCTGGAACTCACTTCGTAGCCCAGGGTGGTCTCGAACTCACAGGGATCCTCCTGCCTCAGCCTCCCCAGTGCTGGGATTACAGGCATGCGCCACCATGCCCGGCTGGAATGGATTTTTGTTTCTTCAAATTGAGCTGTCACTGCTTCATGGCATAATTTTGAGATCCAGTCATCAGTTTCAGGTTTGACGTCATCTCTGCGAGACTGTCTGAAATATGAGTAAAAGGGAGATTCTGCTGTTTCAATATGAGGTTCTTCACTCTTCCCGTCACAAACTATGATCCTGTATTCACAACTCGTGATAAGAGACCCACTGGTTTAGCTGTGGTGTTGCCATAGCTGGTAGGAGCCAAGGCCATCTCAGTAAAAGCCTTCCACTGTTTGATACATTATAAAGGGTTATGGCTACATCCTGCATCTCTTAAAGCTTTTTTATATTGCTCCAAATCAGCATCAGAAGGTGCCTGCTGTGTGCCTATGTAACACATAACAAACAGCCAGGGCCGGGGATTTAGCTGAATGGTTCCACTGCCTGCCTCGCAAGCACAAGGTCCTAAATTCAATCCCCACTACCAAAAAAAGAAAAAAAGCAAAGAAACACCCTCATGTTATCTTCTGGAGTTCCTACATCAGGGTCTGATACTGTATCTAGAAGAGATTTATCCAGAGTAGTTTTGCTGTCTTTTCTTCATATTCAAAATATGCATCCAGCTTCCTTGCCTTTGTGTTCCAAAATGGCAGTGGCAACATCTGTATGGTTATCAGTAAGTTTTTTTCTCAAGAAGTTCTGGCAAAGAACTCACAGCCGACATTAACTTAGCATTACCATCAGAAAGCACACTGATGGCTCCTTTATCTTCTCCTTCTAGCCCCATGATGCTTTTAAGTCATTTGACCTCATCTTCTTGTGCTCTATAATATTCCAATTCTTGCTGAACTGATTCTGCAACTGCTGGGAATGTTCTTCCTTTATGTTTCTGCCAAAAGCTGTCAACTGAAGTTAAATCATTAGACTTGTTTATTCTCTTTGGTCTAGCACCAGCTGGAGGGTTTTCCACTCCTGAAGATTCTTCCAAATTTACTGTTTAAGTGGAAATCCAGTATATCATGCACCAATGCTTGATACGTCCAAGTACGGTGTAAAGGGGTTGCCAAATGTTTCTGTCGACGAGAACTAACAAAGGCCTTTAGAAGCTCAACTGGCCAGCTCCCAGTGTGTCACCTGTAGAAAGACTATTTCTTGCATCTCCTAGATTTTTCCAAAGTATCTTAACTAGTTTCACTGCCACCATCTCTGCTGTGATTCCTCTTGAACATCTGATGAGAGAACAACACCCAGTGTAACAAAACAGCAGAAGAGGCTGTCAACAATAGTGTCCAGGGCTGGGGATTTAGCTCAGTGGTTCTGCCACCTAACTCGCCAAGCGCAAGGTCCCGAGTTCAATCCCTGATACCAAAAAACAAAACAAAACAAAAAACCAATAGTGTCCATAATTGTTTCCCTTTCTGTGTCTGTGATATCTGGTCTATTAATAGCACGATATGGAACAAGTTCCTTATTTTGATTACATAATACAAACATCTCCTCCTCCAAACAAAACTGAGATACTGATCAAAAACCTCTGCTACCTGTTACTGCACTAACTGCTAATGCTGCGTTTGCAGTATCTTCCAATTTACTTCTTGAAATAGCAGAAATAAAATTTAAATAATACGATTCATACAGCTGATTACAAAGATCCTGGCACACTCTATCATATTTTCTTCAGTTGGCATTCCAAAGTACACTGCATAGGTTCCACCACCTGCCTCATAAGCACAAGGTCCCAGGTTCCATCCCCAGCACCAAAAAACAAACAAACAAAAAAACAAACTACACTGCAGGAACATCTGGAATAGTTCTTGATGAGAGCGCAAAAGCAGATGCAGAGTGGTCCCCCTATCTCTGTTCCTTCAGATAGCAGAGGAGAGAGTATCTTAACCCAATCTGTCATAACTGAGAACCTTCCATACTGGTTCTCCTGTGCTGTTTTTAACATGAGGCACACTGAAATTCAATATTCGCAGGGCCGGGGATTTAGCTCAGTGATACCGTGCCTGCCTGGCAAGCATGAGGTCCTCGCTGATCCCTTTTCGGAAAAAAAAAAAAAAAAAAAAAATAAAAAAAAAAAAAAAAAAAAAAAAGAATTTCAAGGGTGCAGTGGATTTAGCTCAGTGGCTCTGCTGCCTGCCTCTTATGCACAAGTCCCGAGTTCGATCCCCGTTACCAAAAAAAAGAAAAAAAAATCAACATATATTTCAAAGCAACTGTCTGCCTTTCCCAAACACTAGCTGCTGTCGCCATCTTGCCTCCCACCATCCACTGCTAGGCTGAAGGCAGAGCTCAAAGATCTCCCATGCCATTCTTAAATGTCTTGACAATTTAAGTATAATTTGGTCTCTGCCTCAAACTGACCAAACTCCATAATCTTTTAATACAATAATGGAGAGATCAGGAGCTTTGAAGATGAATATAACTGGGTCTCAATACCAGTCCCACCATCTTCAAGCTATGTGACACTGGCAAGTACATTGATCTCTCTAAACCCTTTTGCACCTCACACTAGATTTTTCTTAGTAACAGAGGTCATACACAGAAGATGCCCCACACAAAGCCTGCATTAGCTACTAAAATGATCATAGGTCATTACCATCCACATAGCAGACGTCCTTGATATAGGACAAAAGCAAGGACAGCAGGATGTCCAGGCGTTCAGCTACAGGATGGACCATCTGACCAAGCTTCTCAGGACCAGCCTTTGTTTCGTGTTCAGCTTCTTCATCTTCATCCTTTGAAGAAGTAATAACTGACTTTAAAAATTCAGTGAAAGTGGTTTAATGGAAAAAATCCTCACAAATGGTTATTTTCCCTATAGGAAAAGAGAGAAAGTACCCAGATATATTCCTTGGCAGCGGCTCTTATACAGTGATGTGAATCAGAACCACTTGTGAAGTTTAAGATAAAAGCTGATTCAGAATGCCAGCTCAATTCTACATCTTTTGTTGTTGTTTCTGGGACTGAACCCAGGGCCTTTCACATGCTAAGCCTCTATTCCAGCCCTGAGCTAACCCCTAGCCTACATTCTCATTTGAAAGACCTCAGAATTGACCATGCAAACATCAGGCTTCCTCTACCCCTGCTCCCGGTGCCCACTGTGCTGGCTTCCCTTTTCCAGGTTAAGGTACTGATCATGAGACTGCTTTGAGCGTTGGCTGCCAAGATCCAACAGCTGCTCCCCTTGCCCAACAGAAAAGGAGCCACAACCATCCCTCGGGACCACTGATGGGCTCACAAGGGGTCAGAAGAGCACACGTCCCTGGCCCCAAGCTAGGACCAAAATCTTAAGAGCAATTAATGTTCCAGAGCAACTGCAGGAACAGACTACTGCTGCTCTCCAAGGGAGACCAGGTCATCGCTCAGCTCCTTCCCCTGCCTTCTGCTGCTCCCTGACACACTCTGTCCCCTCTTCTTCCACTGAACCCACCAGCACTCAGGTAACACTCACGATGGCAAAGTGCTGCCTTAGAGGTAGCCCCAACTGGCAACACCAAACTCAACTATAAAACAAAGCTCTTCTACTTACCATTTGCTCAAAGATAAACACTGAAAAAAGTTTATGTATGAAAAGGAAGCATATTTCACCAAACCCTCATTCAAAGGCCTGAATATAAACTGACTGCACTATGCAGAAAATAACATGGCTGCAGAATACTCATTTAAAGAATTATTTTCAGATTTGCAAAGCTATTTTAATTGTTTTAGCCTAAAGCCTTGAAAAAGATAAAAAGCCCCTAGGTATCTCTTTCCATACTCTGAAACGATGAATGTCACAGTCACAGATCTGCTTTAACAGAAATGCTGACCATATTAAACAATCCTTCTGTGGAATCTGCTCCACAAGCTTCAGCTGCTGTCTCCTCAGCATCTTCAATATCCTGCCTCGATGCATTCACCTACAATATAACAGAATGATAATCAAAAAATGACTACGAAAGATGTTTAAAATACAACTATTTGAGGGCTGGAAATTCCTCTGCCACACCTCATACAGTGCAATTACAGTACAAACCTATAAACTGATTTGCATCATGAAGGAATTTGAGTATCAATGTTACCTTCTATCCACTATCAAATATTATAACCCAAGCCTTTTACTGCATACTTAAATAAAATCAACACGAACTGTGACAAGATACTCTAAATCAGCCTCAGCATAGCCAACGTTTATTTTACCTCTGTATGCTCGACACATATATGTTCTATAAACACATCATCAGAGTAGAAAATGATAAAGTACAAGCCAAAGGTGAATGATTATTTACCACACTTTACACACCTCACTTTAACATACTGATCAAATCATTCTTTATTTATTTGTTTGTTTGTTTATTTATATTTTTGAGACAGGGTCTCACTAGTAGTTCAGGCCGGCCTTGAACTCGCAGCAATTCTCCTGCCTCAGCCTCCCAAGTACTGGGATTACAGGTGTGTGCCACCACACCCCGCCTCTATGCAGGATCTCTGTAGGCACACTTCATGATATACGAGAGAAAGACTAGGGAGTTGACACAAGCAGTTGGCAGAAAGCCAAAGGAAAGTGCCTGCATGCCCAACTTCCAGTTCTTCCCAGACCTGCTTTTTTCCATCTCTCAGCTCACCAAGGCTCTGATCTCCCTAGGTCACAAATTTGCTCAGGTCTTCCCAGTTCTGACCCATCTCTTAGCCCTGCTCTGTACCATTCCCCTGATGGCAGCACTCATGGAGGTCTCTACCAGGTCCTCTTCTTAACCCTCCATACTGCCTTCTGAAATAAAGTCTCTCTTTAGTGACAAGGTCCTCTAGAAAGCACCAAAGACCAACTTCTTAATCTCCAAATCCAAGCATTTTGCTCTTCTCAACCTTCTTCAAAATGATAGCAATCTGTGATGGGGCTGTGTGGACCATTCTTCAGATTCTGCTGTGGCATCCACAATCTTGTTTCTTCCACCTCCTGACCAACTCTTGCCCTCCCCTTGGCATACACAGTTCCATAGTTTTGTTCTCTGTCCCTTGCCTGCAGCTACAACCACCTGGTGAGTATTCTTCAACTAGCATCACTATCAACAACACAACTGCCTAGAAAGGAACAAGCATCTTCCAGCCTCCTCCACATGATGTTTCTTTTTGCAGTTACGGGAAACACCAAGAATCCATTAACTACCTCTAAAGGATTTCTTTCCTTTAGCCTCTGCTTGTCCACTTCCAACTCAGTCTTAAGGACCAGTTCACCTTACTCCCCACTGTTGCCAGAACCTATCATTCTCTTTCACAATCTCCACAGTTTACTGCAAGCCTCTTTTAACAAAATGTCCACTTCTTCATTATAATATGTACTTGTGCACAGAGTTCAGGAAATATTAAATGAAGCAAATAACAGAGAGACTGGATTCTTTCGCACTGTTGTTACTATTGTTTCACATACTGTGATTATAACAAGTATAGTATATTCAATAAATGAAAATCAAGAAGAAAAAATACATTATTCAATACTTACATCCAACTTGAGTAGCTTTTCAATAACAAGTTCTAGAATTTCATGCCTCAAGGTTGGAAAATAGACACTTATCCTTAGTAAATTATGAACATAACATTCCTAAAACAAAACACATCAAAAGATAAAGTGTTTGGGCCCGGGATTTAGCTCAGTGGTTCTGGTGCCTGCTTTGCAAGCACAGGGACCCGAGTTCGATCCCTGGTACCAAAAAAAACACAAAAAACAAAAAACAAAAACAAACAAACTAGTGTTTTAGCACAGGTTTCATAATTATATAAGCAAAGTATAAATATAGCCAGAAGGCTTGTTTTTGTTGTTGTTGTTTTTTAAGATAGGGTCTCACCATGTCCTTCAGGTTGGCCTTGAACTCACTATGTAGCCCAGTGAGGCATCAAACTCATGGCAATCCTCTCACCTCAGCCTCCCAAGCGCTGGGATTACAAGGCATGCACTACCTACCACACCTGGCTAGAGTTTAAATATAGATTATCTAGCAATATAGAAAATGTAATTTCTACACACAAATTTCAGTGTAATTCCTTCAATTATCCCCAATAAACTGAATTTGTAATTTACATATTTCTACACGTTTTAAAAACAGCCTGAGTTGTAATTTACATACCACACAATTCATCCATTTAAAGTATACAAGTTTCTAGTATATTCAAAGTTGTACAAGCATCACCAGTATCAATTTTAGAACATTAGAAAAGAAATTCCTTATCTATTAGTAGATCTTGTGTAAAAAATGTAGCCCTAGGCTGGGTGTGGAGGCGCATGGTGCATGCAGGATGAGCCTGAGGCCTGCCTACACTCACACAGCAAGACCAGCAGCTGTCTTAAAAAATAAACAAAAAATGCAGCCTTAGGCAACCCTGAATGTATATTCTCTATTAGCTTTTGTATTCTAGACACTTCATGTAAGTGGAATCATATGATCTTTTAGTATGATTTTAAGACACCCTTATGTGGTAATATGAATAATTACTGAATGCTTGTCCACTGTATACACGAATCATGCTGTTCACTTACCCATTAGTTGATTATTAGGAACACACATGTGCGAGTTTTTGTGTAAACATGTATTCATTTTCTTGGGTGTGTAGCTACCAGTGGAGCTATTAAGTTAAATTCTATATTTAACTTTTTTTGAAGGATTGCCACAGTTTTCCACAGCAGCCACATGATTTTACATTTTTACCAAGGAGGACTCCAGTTTCCTCACACCTGAACCACCACTTGTTACTCTCTTGTCCTTTGGGCCATAGCTATGCTAGTTTAGATGTGAAGTCATTTAGATTTTTATTTCCTTGTAGTTTTGAGTTCTAATTCCCTCATGGTTAATGACATTGGATTTTTCATTGCTTATTTTGGAGAAATGCCTATTTATATCCCTTCATTGGGTTATCTGCTCTTATATTATTGTTTTTTATAGATAGAAATCCTTTATCAGACATAATTTGTAAATATTTTCTATTATTTGAGATACCTTTTCACTTTTGTTGAATGTGCCCTAGGAAGCACAACAGTATTTAATTTTGAAGTCTAATTAGTCTGTTTGCCTGCTTGCACGCCAAGTATTACAACTAGAAGTTACTGCCTAATCCACTGTCATGAAAACTTACACCTATGTTTTCGTCTGAGAGCTTTATTTGGTTTTAGCTCTTACATTTAATTCTTCCATCCATTTTGGGGTTTGGTTTTATGGTTTTGTTTTCTGAGACACGGTTTCACTGTGTGCCACCACACCCAGCTTTTCCATCCATTTTGAGTTCATCTTGTATACAGATACCCATACACTTCTTTTTGGTGGTACTGGGGATAAACCCAGGAACTCACACATGCTAGGTATGCCTGTAATCACATCTGTTCAGGAGGCTGAGACAGAATTACAATTTCAACGTCAGCCTGGACAATTTAGTGACACCTTGTCTCAAAATAAAAATTATAAAGGCCTGGGAATGTAGTTCAATGGTACATAGTTCCTGGATTCAAACCCCAGTACCACAAAAACTGAAAAAAAAAGATGTTTTATATATTGTTTTCTTTTCTTATTTTTAGAGCATGGGATGGAACCTAGGACCTCACATATGCTAGGCAAGCCCTCTACCTGAAGCCAAATCCCCAGCTCACTACTGGATTTGTATACTGACCTTATATCCTATAAACAATAAACATGTTGAATTTAGTAGCTTTAATAGATTTTTTGTAGATTCCTTAAGGTGACATGTAAAACCATGTCATTGGTTAAAAGTATTTTATTTCTTCCTTTGTATTTGGATACTTTTTAATCTTTTTCTTGCACAAAACCCCTGGCTAGACAGGTGGCAAGAGGAGATACTCAATGGCATATGCCTGTAGGCCCAGCTACTCAGTAGGCTGAAGCCTGAGGACACTTGAGTCCAGGAGTTAAAGGCCAGCCTTGGTAACATAGTGAGACCCCATTCCAAGAACAAATAAAAACCAGATTATCAGGGCCCAGGATTTAGCTCAGTGGCACCACACCTGCCTCACAAGCACAAGGTCCTGAGTAGAATTCCCCCCCAGCCCCAAAATACCCCAGTTAACCTTGTTTTGCTCCTTATCTCAGGGTAAAGATTTTGGCCTTTTACCACTGAATATATTACTACTCTGTGGTTCATAATAATCCACTTGAAGCATACTATCAAAAACATTAACATAAGTTATTAACTCCTCAAAACACTGTACATATAATACTTTAGGGAAACATGTACACTAAGAAGGTAGCCACTCTCAGTTATTGAAAACTATAAAGATCATACAAATATTGCACAAAAACCTAAGCAAAATTTATAGGATCAAATTTTGTACGAGTAAAATTTATACTGATTTCATATTCAAATAACACATTTATAATTAGCAATGTATGAATGGTTATCTTCTAGTAATTCTTATCTGGGTAAGCAATAAGCCTCTAAAGATATTTCTGAAATAGATTCTCAGCATGACTTGCACGTGAAGGAAAAAAGGCACTGGGACTCCCCAGCAGTCACCTGCTAAGAAAGTAATTGGGAGTCAAATTCTTAACCTTGAGTTTAAAATCTAGAAGACAATTTTTTTTAAAAAAGACCAAGCCCATTTGAAATGAAATCACAAAACAACCTTTCCATTACTTTCCCAATTAAAAAATTTCTTACCAATGTTCTTTCTGATTTTCTAACAAACGGAAACTTTTCTACCAGTATTGGCATAAGAAACCACGGTGTCCTATTAAAAAAAAAAAAAAATCCATATTAACTGGATTTCCTAGGAAGATATTATTTCCATTCTAAGAGCAAACATGGATAGGTACAGGAGGCAAACCAGAATCCCTACCACAAGCAAGTGAAACTAAATGTACAGTTTCAGAGAACATCTATAGCAGCTTAAAGAAAAATAAGTCTTACTAACTTTGATACTAACAGCAAATCAAAGAGGGGGGTCCTTCTGCAAATATTTAACACAACTTTTGTTTAAAAGCTAAGCATTTCCCACCATACATACATGATTTTTAAAAAGAAGGAAAAGATCATCAATGTGGATTTTTTTTAAATTGACATATAAACCTACAGAGGGAACTAGAAGTCCACCCCTCCAAAGAAACTCACAAACCTGCAAAGCTTTTCTTAGAACTGCAATTTTTATTCATATGGCATGACACAAATTCATATGGGGTTTGTCAGTGAAAATATTTGGATATCATATCTGTTGAAGATGAAAGCAAAATTCTAACCACTATACAGAAGCGGGGAGAATCCACATATAAAAAATAATGAAAGAATGAATAGAAAATAGAAACACCATTTTTAGTAAAACTTGATGTTTCAACCATATACTGCTAAAACACAGCATATAAGGCAAGTTTTGATGCTACGACCATTTTATAATTTTCTACTAATATATATATTTGCAGTGCTAGAGATTGAATCCAGGGCTTTTTGCACATACTAAGCAAGCACTCTCACAGCCCCAACCCCAGAATTTTCTTAAGAAAAACACAACATAATTCAAAGTAACAAAAGTATACTCACGATGGGACATATCTTGCTATTATTTGCAATGCTCTATGACATGTGTCAAAAACTGCAGGAAGATCTGTAAGGAGAAAGTTCAGAGAGTATGAACATCAAAACAAAATTGAAAACTGAAAAATCATTATGTTGGAAGCTAAAAACACTTGCTAAGCAAAACTGATCAAAAACCTCTGCTACCATTTTAAGATTAAAAAAAGAAATATTTTAAGATTTTTCTCTACAACTATCAAGGAAGACAAAATGGACTCATTATCTTAGTAACACACTTAGTGCAACTGTGTATCACAAACACTTTACCAAAAGTTACATCTGTTGCCATCTATTTATTGAACCAGAAGTCAGTATGTTTTATTATTCAGCACATATTCTCTAGATATAGGAGGCCTTATAGCTATGCTTTTAATTCTTTTATACTTACTATCATCTTCATCATCCGAATCTGAAACATCTATGTCACCTTCCTTAGTGATCACTCGAGCTTTTGGGGGGAAAAATATGTTATTTTTCTGAACAATGAGCAATTACACACAAAACAGCAGTTTTTTCAGTTCAAATTCAGTAGAATGATTATATTGCTGGGGGTGGGGAGTACAACTTGATATATTTTTTAAGAAGATACATTTTCCTAGATAAGTTCTAAGACTGTCAGAGGTTCAATACAGCAAACTGCAATCCATTAAGAATTAATAATAAATTTAAATTAGCTACAGATGAATCTAGATACCTCCCTCGGGGACAGATATCTACCAGAATGCCAACATACATCCCAGAACCTTCCATTTAGCAAAATCTCCAAACTGACCAACTTCTCTGAATAAAGAAATTTAAAAAACAAAACCCCCAAACACCACATGCACTCCCACTTCTTGCCGGTGACATCGGGTGCTGCCTCAGCACTCTGCCAGCAAGGCAGCTATCACCAGGTGCAGGTCCTTGACCTGGGACCAGAAAAGTGAGCCAAAACACACCTTTTTCCCTTACAACAAGAAAAGGAGAGCGGAAAGGGAGGAAAAAGGGGAAGGTTGGAGACAGAAGGGAAAAAAAACAAGTCAAAGAGTAACCACTTACGAGGTACAAAATGAGAAGCAATCATGCTGAGACAGGGTCTAAGGAAGACAGTCTGTGCTGACACCAGATTACCAAGAAAAGCCAAATACTCCTCCACCACTGTTTGACTTCTGTTCAACCAAGGCAACCTCTAGAGTCGGGAGAAGAAGAACATTTCACTGATGTAAACTATTTCCAAAGTACAGAGCCACCTCCTAGTCGTGGAAATAAAGAACTTACCAACAAAATGCTGATAAGCTGCTCAAAGTCTTTCGTCAAGTATGTGATAGAAGTGCGGAATTCTAGCAGCCAGTTAAGGATCTGGTCATCCTTTAATTAAATACAGAGAAGAACTTTCAAAATCAAAATATCCTCTGAAGTCACAGAAAATAATACATCATCCGTTGGGTGTAGTGGCAAAGGTGAATAACCCGAGGTACTTGGGAGACTGGGGCAGGAGAATCACAAAATCAGGGCCAGCTTGGGCAACTTAGCAAAACACTGCCTTAAAATTTAAAAGAAATTTAAACCTGGTAGAGTGGTGCACACCTAGAATCCCAGCCCTGGGGAGTTAAAGGCCAGTCTACATTACAAAGCAAGACCCCGTTTCAAAAAAAAGAAATTATATATATTAGAAGAGCTACATATGTACCTCAGTTGTAGATAACTTGCCTTGCCTAGCAGGCTTAAACTCAGATTTCCAGCCCCAGCAATAATATTTAAATTAGGTGGGAAAAATAAACTTGCAATTATATAAAAATTGAGTACCAAACATGTCATGATAAACTTTTCTGTTTTAAAGATAACCTAATAACATCAGGACTTGTTTGTTTGGTACTAAGGGATCAAACCTTGGTCCTACACACTGAGCTACATCCCAGCCCTTTTTTATTTTGAGACAATGCTCACTAAATTCCTAAATGGCTCAGATTAGCTATGAGGATCCTCCTGCCTCAGCTTCCTAGAATGCCGAGATCACAGGCATGCACCATCACATCCATCTGACACTTGCAAGGCAAGCATGGTGCCATGGAGCTAAAAGGGATCAAACCTTGGTCCTACACACTGAGCTACATCCCAGCCCTTTTTTATTTTGAGACAATGCTCACTAAATTCCTAAATGGCTCAGATTAGCTATGAGGATCCTCCTGCCTCAGCTTCCTAGAATGCCGAGATCACAGGCATGCACCATCACATCCATCTGACACTTGCAAGGCAAGCATGGTGCCATGGAGCTAAATGTGCCCCCTACCCCTCCCCAGAACTTTTTAAACTGCAGAATTTTAGCATATTCAAATACCAGAAGTTCAGAGGAGCCATAACTATCTACATTTTCTTTATATTCAAGACACCTGACTAGTGAACTAAAGTTCTCCTAAACCCAACCTGCAGCTGATTTAAACACATTAGGATATGTTTGCATAAATAATGGCTCTAGGACAGAGGATGTAGCTCAATGATAGTGTCTACCTAGCATTCATGAGGTCCTGGGTTCGATTCCCAACAACACAAAATACTATTACTGTTTCCATTCCACCATGAAATATTTTTCTGATAAGATCACTGTTTTAAAAATTTTAAGTGACATGAGAAAAACTGCTTTTTAAAAAAAGCCCTGTATAAAATATATTATCATAAGCGTAAAATGAAACATCTTTGGGTGGTGTTACTAGGATCAAACTGAGTCTTGCGACATAAACTAACTACACCCCAGCCCCCAAAAGACATCATTTATATCCATGCAAATATACCACACACAGAGGAAAAAATTATAAGGAAAAAGTCCAGTTTGTGAAAGAATATGGTTAATGCTGAGTAAGACAAGTAAGGGAAAGAGGCAAATAAAAGCAATCTAGTGTTACACCAAAAACAAAAGGTTGTGAAAGAGTACTATTTAGTGAGAACATACCACATGTGAAGCAGTGTTTTAAACTGTTTTTGTTTTGTTTTGCGATACGGTCTCAAAATAGGCCTTGAACTATGTACCTGAGGCTGGCCTTGAATTTGCAGTGATCCTACTGCCTCAGCCTCCGGAGTGCTGGGATTACAGGCATGAGCCACCATGCCCAGTGTATCTTTTTCTAATCCAAAAAACTCTGGCATATGACTAGTTATTCTCATTTTAGAGTAGAGGAATCTGACATTGAGAGAGATTAATAAACAACTTGCCCAACCAAAAGGCTATTAAAGGGCCAGGTTCACACCTTCCTACCAGATCAAGGCTATGTTCCACCTCCTCTCCACAATGCCTTGCTCCATGTAGAGAAGAGGTGCCACCTTTGCCCCACCTTCATCTAACTAATTGCTGCTTTCCATGTTATCTATACAATAGACTTCTACAGGCTTGATGGTTTTCTGAGGAAACCCCAAGTAAACAGCCGGAAAATGAAATAAGTCATAATTCATTTGCACTGTTAACTTCATAATGCCCACAACCACTAAGAATAACATTAAGCCTGATGTAATGGCAAACACCTGTAACCCCAGCACTCTAGGAGATAGAAGCAGGAGGACTGCAAGTTCAAGCCCAACCTGGACTACTTAACAAGACCCTGTCTCAAAATAAAAAATGAAGAGATACAAATACAAAGGCCCTGGATTCAATCCGTATTACCACAAAAAGGGAAGGAGTGGGGGAGAATAACACTAATAGCAGCTCTTGAGACCTAGGGCACAGAAGAGACTTGTATTGCCTGCCTCACAAGTGCAAGGAGTGGAGTTTGATCCCTGGTACCAACAAAACAATAACAACAACAACAACAACAACAACAACAACAACAACAACAAAAAATAACAATGAGAGCCGGGCGTGGAGGCTGAGGCAGGAGGATCACTGTGAGCTCGAGACCAGCCTGGGCTACATAGTGAGTCCCAGGTCAGTCTCAACTATATAGTGAGATAAAAAAAAAAAAAAAAAAAAAAAAAAAACACGAGTAAAATGCAACCTATTCTTTTTCCACTTAAAAAAGGTACAAGGGCTGGAGAGGAAAAAAAAATAACCCCATGATAAAGTAAACCAGTCATAGACTCTGATGCTTTAGTAGTGAATTGTTGTTAGGAGCAAACTAATTGCAACACTCCTCTGAAGAAGCAGACCCACACCCAGTACCCAGTATGAGTCTTAGTATGCCAAGAATCTGCTGCCATAAACTTTGGTGGAACACAAAGAAATTAGTCTTTGTACCTGAAGGAAGGGGAGAGTCAGGGACAGCTTTAAAGACGAAGTGATGCCTCAGCTGCCTTTCAATAGTAACAGTATTTTCTGGGGGTTACATTCCTTACAGAGGAAAAAGCACACTTGTGTTTGTGAAAACAGAAAGTAGTTCGGGATGCCTACAGTTGTGGTGGAAAACCTACATATGGTGTGTGTGGTATCTGTTTTTCTTTTAAGCCAGAAGATGTTAATGTGTTGTTTTTTTAAAAACTAAAACCTCAGCATTTAGGTATATTTTCAATAAATAAGTGGGTTTTCGGTTGCAGTTTAGGCACTCCTCTCTAAAAGGTTGACCCTCAGTGGCCTAGAGTGTAAGGTGAGTAAGTCAAGACATAAATATTGTGAGCAAAGAAGCACAGAGAGCAACAGAGGATCTTGTGAGCCAGATACATAATTTAAGAAAGATCTTTCGGACACCATTGCGTATGTCTGTAACCATAGCACTTGGGAGGATGAGGCAGGAGGACCACAGTGAGTTCAAGGCCAGTCTGAATTACATAGCAAAATCTTGCCTCAAAAGACAAACAAAAGAAAGATCTGCCAGCAGTGTGGGCAATGGACTGAATGAACACAGCACTATGAGCTTAAGACAAATCTTCACTGAAGTGGACACTGCAAGTAGGTGTGAAAGAGTACTTTTGTAGATTATAGTAACGATGTTAATAATAGGATTGCAAGTTTCAGTCTGGTCTCCAAATTTAAAAAGGTGTATGAGTGGGGGGAGGAGGAGACAGGGATGTAGCTCAGTACAAAGACTTTGAATACTACTACCAATAGCTGAAAGAACGAGCCAGCCCTTGGTCACACTGCTAGTAAGGGAGGGAAGCAAAGTAGCTAGAGACCCTGCTCAAACAAAGTGGATACAGACCTCGTCTACAGAGAAAAGTCACATGCAAAGGCAAAATGATGAACTGGGCAAAAGGTGGGCCAGGCATGGTAGCACACACCTGTAATCCCAACACTCAGGAGGCTGAGGCAGAAGGATCGCTGCAAGTTCGAGGCCAGCCTGAGCTACACAGTGAGGTCAAGTTCAGCCTAAACTACGTATCAAAACCCTGTTTCCTGGGCCAGGATTTAGCTCAGCAGTGCTACACCTGCCTTGCAAGCGCAAGGGCCTGAGTTCAATCCCCAGTAACAAAACCAAAACCAAAACCAAAAAATGTGGCAAATTCAGGAAATACAATTATCTAGTGGAAATCAACATAGAAAATATGTTGCAAACTGTGCTTAGAAGTTTAACTCTTCATTCTTCCACAGACACAAAGTGCTTTTAGTAAGAGAAAGACATGTCTAGACTTGTATTCCAGCAAGATGGGTCAGGTTATACTTTGGGGATAAATCCAGAGCAGGACAGAACCTAGAGACCACTAAAGAATTATTGGAAGAATCCAGACAAGAGCATCAGCAACACAAAACACTTAAAAGACCCCCCCACAAAAGATTTGGTGAATGAATAGATATGAGTTCAATCCCTGTACCACACACACACAAAAATTCCACTGAAATCAGCATGTAAGAAATCACGGATAACCTTTGTCAGGCTAATTACAGCAGTCATAATGACAGTGAACTCAAATTTAAAAGAAACGAGGAAGTAGACAGGCTTGATGGCCCACGCCTGTGATCCCAGCACTCAGGAGGCTGAGACAGGAGGACAGCTGTCTGAGGCCAGCAGAAGCTACATAATGAGTTTAAGTCCAACCTGAACTACATAGCAAGACCCTATCTAAAAAAAGAAAAAGAAATAAAGACATGCAGATTATCAACAAAAACAAAGTAACAACTAACAGTTATAAAGTCCTTACTTTGGGTCAGAAGCTATTCTAAGTGATTCTGGTATATTATCTCACTGAATCTGCTTTTTAAAAATTTTTACGTTTACTTAAAATTTATTTTAAATCTCCATGTTGAAAAAACTTTCCATTGCTTTCTTGCTTTTACAACAACCCTATCATCCACCCACTAAATGCCAGCAGCACCCCTCCCTCCCAGTTGTGACAACAAAAATGTTTCCAGTCACTGCCAATCAACCCCAAAGGAGTCAAACTGCCCCTGGTTGGGAATCACTGGGTTAAAATCTGAAACCTTGGAGAAAGCAAGCTGTACAGGACAGAATAGGACCTAACGCGCAAACAGTGCCTTGTACAAAGTGCCAGTAACTCTGCTTTGTTACCTGTCAAACAAAAATTACCTTTATGTCTGGATCTGACAGCTGGTTCTTCAACAACTCAAAGTCATCTGTTTCACCCTGAACAAGAAGGAGGTAAAAATTAAATTATGTTTGCTTTGGTTGCCTGTTAAAACAATAGCAGGACTTTCTGGTTTTTTTTTGTTTCAAGACAGGGTCAAACTCTGTAATTCAGGCTGGCCTTGAGCTCACTGTGTATTCCAGGCTGGCCTCGAACTTGGGGTGATTCTCCTGCCTTAGCCTTTTAAGTGCTAAACAGCAGAATTTCTAACTACTAACTCCTTCTAACTCTTAACATCTAATGAAATTGCACAGGGAACCTTGTAACTTTCATACATCCCTTGTGATTACAAAATCATGACTATAACAATTTTAAAACTCATGTTAGGGGAGCCAGGGGTGTTGGGGGAAAATGCCATTCATATTTACCTATAGCTGTGTACTGACATTTAAATATTATAGTTGCTATTCTTTTTTTTCCACAAGCAGCGCTGGGGATCACACTCAGGGACTTCACACTGAGCTACACCCCCAGCCCTTAATGTGCTACCACACCTTACACACATTTTCTGATGTGTATCCTTTTTTAAAAAATTTATTTTCTGGTACTAGGGATTAACCCCAGGGCCTATGGCACATGCAGACCGGCGATTTAGCTCAGTGGTTCTGCCGCCTGCTTCACAAGCGCAAGAACCCAAATTCGAGCCATGGTAAAAAAAAAAAAAAAAAATCACAGGCACATGTGCCCTCACTGAGCTGACCTTTAGTCAATTCCTAGGATGACCTTTAGTGTATCAGCTATCATGTGATATTATGAGCAATAAAAACTAAACCTCACACATTATCTCTTACCTTTTTGTATTTCAGCAAGACTTCTCTCACAGTTCCACCAAACCGAACAGTTTTTCTTGGAGGAGAATTGAAGAACTCATTCTTTAATGCAAGCATATCTGAAATCCTACAGAACCAAGATTACCAAGCTATTACATTTATGACAGTGAATAATACAGCCAGGGCTGGGGATGGAGGTCACCGATATAGCACTTGCCAGGAATGCATGGGGGACATGGGTTCAATCTCCAGAACCACAGAAAAATAACCAACATTTATTGAACCAAGATCATTCAGTGAGACTACAAGGTGGGACAAAAATGTATGGGTAAATGTTTTTGTTTTTTTTTTAAAGTATCACCATTAAAAAGAAACTGAATTCCAAAGCTTTCGTTTTTCTGAGGTGTGATTAAAACAACACAGTGATTGCTACTGCTGAGTACCATATAACAAAATAGCAGGTTTATAAAAACATTATGGTGTCCTCATCCACCTTATTCACTGAATCTGACACCATTCAACTTCTGCCTCTTCCCCAAAGTCAAAATGACCATAAGGTAAATGCAGTCACAGCAGCAGAACTAAAGACACAAAAGCAGGCTTTCCAAAACTGCTTCAGAAAGTGGCAAGAAGGGTAGGATAAGTGTGTTCAAAGCAAGGGGGAGTGTTTTGAGGACTGATGGCAATGTGTCTTTTTTATAAGACAGGGTCTCACTTTGTACTTCAGGTTGCCCTTACACTTGCTATGTAGCCCAGACTGGCCTAGAACTCATGGTGATCCTCCCACCTCAGACTCCTGGGTGCTGAGACTACAGGAGTGTGTCACAAGTCCAGGGCAATGTATCTTTTACTTTAATAACACTTTCTATATTTAAACATTCACCGTATTTTCCAATCACACCATGTATGCATGCTGTAGCCTCTTAAACGGTCTCCCTTTTATTTATCATCATTATCCCCGTAATTCATTTATCCCCAATATAATCCCTTCACTCAGTGAAAGTAGTCTTCCAGATGCATTTAGAAAAAGAAGCCAGATTCAACATTAATCATATAAGGATTTACATCTGGCCTCTGCCTACCTCTCTGACCTCATCTCCAACCACTTGTTTTACTACAGGCAGTGTCCTTTCTATCTTCAAACCTGTCAGTCTTGTTCCCATTTCACTTACTCTTCACATAATCGGAAGCAATCCTGTCTGACGTACGCAAGGAAGGATTCTTACCTCCATTCAAGCTGAAGCCCAAATGTCAGAGGCCTTCCCACCAGAAATCTACTGTACTCATCCTCTCCATTACCCTGTTGTATTGCTGTACTTCTTTACAGAACTTCTATCTAAAACGTGGCATATTTATTGGCCAATTCACTGTCTGTCTCTCTCTCACACACACACAGTGCAAGTTCTGCTGAGAAAAAGACTGTTAATCTCTGGACAGACCTGTCCCCAGTGTCTAACACTGATAGTAAATACTTAATGGATAACTGTGAATATTATGCTGAGTGTTTTACAGGGTCTGCTTTATTTAAACACGGGTTAGTGAAAAAATAAAAATAAAAAAAGACAGCATCCTCCGAACTGAGGCTTAAACTCCGAAGTGTTTTATAGGAATTGGGAGAATTTAAAAGTTAAGCAGGATAAGGACTACTGTATTAAATACGTGCGTCAAAAGAAATTTCAAAACAGTATTCTACGTTTCGGGTCTGTCATCAATGACAGCACTCGGCTGAAAAATTCGTGGTCCAGAAAACCCCTCCCAAATCTAGACGAAGCAGCAGAAGGGAAGAGTAAAGCAGCACAAGGCAATGCCCAAGCCCGGACCTCGGTGAGGGACACAGAGCGGTGGACGGGGGAAAAGACTCACGCTCATTTCCTTTACGCCCGAAGGGGGAACCGGCTCGCTCTCGCGAACCTGAGACGACTATTCCCAGCCACCACCACACTCAAAGGCGTGCGCTCTATCCCACACTCCTTAGCTTTGTCCCAGACGCTCAAACCCGCTCCCCCAACTCCAGTCCCAGACACGCAGACGGAAGCAACCCGAATCTTACCCAGTCCTTGACGCGCTCAGCGTCGCCACCATAGGTGCCGAAGCTGGCGCCTCCGCGGGTAACCGCGTGCGAAGAAGCGGAGCTTCCATCCCTCCGGAGAAACGGACCAGCTGCGCCTCGCGCAGGAAATCGTGTTCCTTCCAGCTCCCGCCTCTATCCCGGAAGTCGCTCTTGCGAGGCGCGGCCTTCAGCCAATCAGATCCCCACATGTGAAGCGTCTATGGTCGGCGAGCTAGAGCGCCACCTAAGCTCGCCCCTCTCCTCTCCGCTTGAGGCCCTTCTTTCGCCTTGGTGGACTTTTCCTCGCTCAGCTCGGGGCCTACACTGAAATGTCCAAGAAGGGCTAAGCGGTGGCGTAGCTCCCGCGGTAATCAGATTTGTTTTATTTGGTTGCCTCAGCACTGGGGATTGAACCCAGGGCCTTCGCACTGAGGTATATCCTCTGCCCTATATAAATTTTTTATCTTGAGACAAGAGTCTGTCTCATTTGCCCAGCTGGGCTCCAATTTAGTTTTCTCCTGCCTCCGCCTCCCACTGCGCGGGAATTACAGGCGTGTGCCCCCAAGCCCGCCGAGTTTTAGGTTTCTGGTAGGCAAGCCTGCCTCAACCAAATCACGGGAAGGAGAGACCATAGTTTTCATCCAAACTCACAGAGGAACGAGATTCGGACTCAACCTGTGACCCAGAGCCTGGGCTCTGTACCCACTGTCTTCCCTTACAGACACCCAAGATAATCTCATCTTTTCAGAAACGCTGTGAGCTCCCAGGGACTGACCCAGTAGTCTCAGGCTGTGATGAAAAATCAGAGGCATTACCCCTGAAATATATTTTTCTCTCCCCGATCCCCCGTCTGGAGATCAAAGCCGAGAACTGGTGCATCCCAAGCAAGTGTATTACCACTGAAATCCGAACTTAAATTGGGCCATCAAAGCAGAGAAGACTTTTCCAGGCAAAGGGAGCAGCACCGGCCAAAACTTGGGGACTGTCACTCCCCTTAGTTCTTTTTTGAGACAGGGTTTCATTATAAAGTTCAATATGGCCTTGAACTTGCTGTGTATCCCAGGCTGGCCTTGAATTTGTAGCGATCCTCCTGCTTTGCAAGTGAGTGCTGGGTTTACAGGTGTGCACCTCCACACCGGCCCCTTAGTACATAAGGCTAAATGGGACTGGGGAACCGTAGAAAGCTACTTAACACATAAACCAGTTACAGTAACTTGTTAAATATAAAGCACAATTCCATTGTGGGACACTGTGAAATCAGTAACTTTCTGTGGTCTCCATCTGGCACCACGGTTTAGAGTGCCTGTGGAATGGGGCAGAAATCATCAATGTCACAAGAGCAAAGGAAATAACGGCACTGTAGCTCACAAGGGAACTTCAAGAGAGCTGTTTTGGCAGTAATCTCTCTCTCCCTCCACCCCCAACAAAGCAAAATAAATAAATACAATCCATACGTACAATTCATGTGAGTAGAAGTGTGACTAAACTTTAGCAATTCGACAATTACACTGTCATCTTTCATTTTAAAAGTCAGACATATTCAAAAGAATGTTAATGTATTTTTTTTGATGAACACCTGTAAATATATCATTCAATTTAAGAAACAATGCTACGCACTGTGGGTGGTGCATGCATGTAATCCCAGCTGCTCTGGAGACTGAGGCAGAAAGATCCCAAGTCCAAGGTCGACTTGGGCAATTTCGTGGTGCTCTGTCTCAAGATGAAATAAAAAGGTCTAGGCAATGTAGCCAAGTAGGAGGCCCTGGGTTCAATCCTCAACTCCTGGAGGAGGAAGGGCAGGACATGAACCAATACTATCAGAAGCTTCCCCTGTGCTCCTCCCAGATCCCATTTGCTCCTTGCTTTCCTCCCAAAAGTAATCAGTATGCTTTCATTTTATTAAGATGATTTTCTAAAAGTTCATTTTACCTGGCAAGTGCAAGTTCCTGAGTTTGATCCATGGTGCTGAAAAAAAAAATGAATTATTTTAAATTTCCTTTAGGTAAAAATCTTTAGGTAAATATCTATTGCTAAATAAGGCAGTATTTTTTCCTTCCTTTCTCCCTTTCTTTTTTCTGTGTGTGTGCCTAAGGATTGAACCTAGAGCCCTGCAAAGGCATGTGCTCCACTGCTGAGTTACACACCTAGTCAACGATGTACTATTAATTTTGCCTATCTTTGAATTTTCAAATTATTTCCATGCTACATTATGCTATTTGTTTTCAATAGCATGTTTCTGAATGCACTTTTGTGTTATATGTAGCTATGTTTTGTTTTCTCTACCGTATAACATGGTATTATTTGATATAAAAAACAAAAAAATTTTTTTTGCAAAGTGGTTGTACCAATACACACTCCTGGCAATATCCTTTTCGTAAGATTGAGCATAGCTGCTTAATTTTGAAAAACACAAGCAAGACTGGATTGCCATGTTAAAAATAAAACTCTTTTAAAATGTAAACTTGAACATAATACAAGGAAAACTCTAGATCAAGGGCTGGATATGTTGCTACATAGTAAAGTAACATAGCATAAGGCACTGGGTTCAATATCTAGCCCTGAAAAAAAAAAACACAATGAAATAGCACAATTCACTACTGAAGTTCTTTAGTCCTGTCCCTGCCTTGGGCCTCTATCCAGGTACCTCATTCCATGGGCCAACTCATCTTCCGTGGACAGCAACCTCTTTTATTCAGTTTCCTCAGAGTCCCATTTTCCTTTGTCACCAGTCTTAACCATAGAAAAATAAAAATCTTCCCCTCCCAAATTCAATAACAAAAAAAGCAAACAGGTGTTAATGTGTTAACTCCAGAGATGCAACCTTGCCCACAATGTAGCCCTCTAGTTACATCATTGTGCATTACAGTTGTTGGTAATTGTTCTGAACATCATTCCAGAATGATTTTTTTTGCTTTACCTTCATATACTCAGAAGACCTCAAAAGAGTAGCCTTCCCTGAGAGATGATTTTTACTACCATCCCTGGAGTAACTGGGTTAGTTAACCCTTTTGTCTTGCAAGAGGCAATTCTAGAAACCAACTCTAGTTAGCTTAAGCAGAAAAGGTTAATTGTTCTAAAGAGATGTGGCTATTGTTTCAGGTACTAAAAAAGAATTTCTCATTGGTCAAATTTGTGTCCAGTGTCCTCCTATAATCACTCAGTGTTGAGCAGAAATCTGGGTGTGATGATGCCTACTTACACACACACACACACACACACACACACACACACACTATACCAGATAAATCTTTTTGATGAATCTTTGCTATGGAGAAGAAAGTCCCAAAATATGGAGAGTCCGTATTTGTGTGTGTGTGTGTGTGTGTGTGTGTGTGTGTGGTCTGGGGAATTAGCTCAATGATTCTGCCACCTACCCCTCAAGTGCAAGGTCCTGAGTTTGATCCCCCATAACACACACACACACACACACACACACACACACATATTTATTCTCCCCCTCAAAAACCATTAATTTAGAGCTTTCCTCATCCCAGTATCACAGAAAAGTAAAAAGCAGCTTTTCAATCTTGGCATTATTGATTTTTTTGGGCTACACAATTTTGTCATGAGTGAGGAGGCTGTGCTGTGCACTGTAGATATTTAGCACCATCTCTGGCTAGATGAAGGTAGTACTCTCCTCCTCCCTTTGGTGACAAGCAAAAATATCTCCAGACATTGCCTTATGTTCCCTGAGCATCCCAGTCAAGAGCCATTGGTATAAACACAGAATGCATTTGGAACAAAGAACAGGAAAGGAAAAAAAATATATGGAATTTAACTGAGTTTAACTGAGCAAAGAACAATTCACTAATGAGGCAGACCTCAAATGCAGAATAGGTTTAAAGCTCTCCAGCAGAATTCCAGCCTGTAATGTGGTCAGGTGCCATTCATGGACAGGAAGCAAAGTGACACAGAGCTACAGAGAGGGCTGGATTGGCCACAGCCTGGATGTCTGCCTTGTTTGAACATAGTTTGATCAGTTGTCCACCTGTGACTGACTGAGACTTGGTTTCTATAGAGTCTTTCTTTGGAGCCCAGGCTGGCCTTGAACTTGAGATGCTTCTGTCTTGGCCTCCCAAGTGCTGGGATTATAAGCCTGCACCACCACGTCTGGCTAAAATTACTTTTTGTGAGTCTGAGGGGAGTTGAGACAGGGTCTTGTTTTGTAGTTCAAGGTGGTCCTAAACTCACTATGTAGCCCAGGCTGGCCTTGAACTTACGGCATTCCTCCTGCCTCAACTTTCTGAGTGCTGAGATGACAGGCCTGAGCCACCATGCCAAATTTTTAAATGGTTTTTGATCCTTTGTGGGGGAGATGGGGTTAGGGATGATTCCCAGTACCCTTACCCACTTCCCCAAAAACGGACAGGGATTTAGCTCAGTGGTTCTGCCGCCTGCCTCATAAGCACAAGTTCCTGAGTTCAACCAATCCCTGGTACAAAAAAGAAGGATATATCCACTAGGATCTCCAAAATATATGCAAAGTGGAAAAAGCAAGGTGCTGCACAGTATGCAAAGATTCATGGGAAAATGTGAGCACTTTATATATTTACAAATGACATAAAGTATATATACAGATTTATGTGTGCACACACGTATTTTTTGAGACAGTGTGACACTCTGTTGCTCTAGCTGACCCTGAACTTGTGATTTTCCAGCCTCAGCTTCCTGAGTAGCTACAATTACACCCAGCTTCATCATATGTTTATATGAGGGCAAGGGTTGATAAAAATCTGGTAACATTTCATAGTCTGTGAGTAGGACTTTTCTGAAGAATAGAATTAGGGCTGTAGGGAGATTTCACTTTCTGCCATTTTATTCTTTTTAATTCTTTTTAATTTTTAAATTTTTATTTTTTCCATGCTAAAAATTGAATTTAGGGTCTTGTACATACTAGGCAAGGGCTCTATCACTGAGCTACATGCTCAGCCCTCCATTTTTTTTAAGTACTGCAGATTGAACCCAGGGCTTCATGTGCTCTACCATAAGCTATATCCCTCACCCCTTACATCTGTCCATCCTATAAATATGTTCCTTTGTAAATTTGGAAAAAATAAACCAGACAAGTTTATTCTCTTTATAACACATCAACACCTCTTCATATATTCACTAAGACTAAAGCAGTTTTTCTTTTCTTTGCACAGTAACCAATTTCTACTTCTAGCCACACTATAGGTTTACTAGGCTTTTTTTTTTTAACTAACCAGTTTTGTTTTTGTTTTTTGTTTGTTTGTTTGTTTGTTTTTGAGACAGGGTCTCACTGTATAGTTGAGACTGACCTGGAACTCACTATGTAGCCCAGGCTGGTCTCGAACTCACAGTGATCCTCCTGCCTAAGCCTCCCGAGTGCTGGGATTACAGGCATGCAGCACCATGCCTGGCC